TTTATTTTTTATTCAGCAATAATTCTGTCTGTAATAACATCTTCTTCAGGCTCTGACTCTCCACTACTCCAAGCTTCGTCATCACCTGTATTCATTGTATAGCAAAAGTAATAAAGTACGAGGAAGATAAAAAGTAACGGAAAATGTTGTATCAGCACAAGTAAAAAAAATAAGTGTATCTCGAGCCTGACCTAACAGAGAACGCGAGGCGACAGGTGCTCCTACGCGCCGTTCTCACGTATGGCAAGGACGACGATAAACGGGCAGGCCTAATCACAATAAATATATTTTTGATCTGCTATTCACAATTTTGCCAAATTGTTTTACTAGTAAATAGCAACTTCAAAAACCCCAAATAAAAATAAATTTGTTTATAATTGCAGCCGCACGCAAATCAAGCCATGTATTTGTTTTAGAATATCTCACATGAAAATTAGGGATACGGGGTGAGTGGGGGAGGGACGGGCCAATTGACATTAAATAATATTAAAAATTGCTAATAATACTAAGAACATTAATATTTAATAAAAAAAAAGAAATTGAACAAGTTATTCTGGTGCGCCAAAATATTGGTTTTCCGGCCCTCTAAAGGTTAACACGTACGTGGCAGTACAAAGAAAGAATAATAGAAGAACATGAAGAAGAATCATTGCATAACAGACGTGCATCAACTTCCTCTAATATAAATGAGGATGAAACTGAAATAGATGACGTTAAAAAGATGTTGAGGGAATTAGAGAAGAAAAGACGCTGTCAAGACAATTCCACGCCTTCAATAAATATTTTGAATATCTCATAAGAACAGGAAAAGTATTATGGCTATTTGAAGCAACAAACACTGGTGATAATGTGTGTGTGATAGCAACATTACTTTATTCAAGCAGGTAATATAATAGAACGTTTTCGGCCTTAGATTAGGCCTTTATCAAGTCACATGATTACAATTTAGAAATATAAAAGTAATTGAGGGTTACTACTCAGTTACTTTTATATTTCTAAATTGTAATCATGTGACTTGATAAAGTTTTAATTCAAGAACAACATTATTATATATATATTGATAAAGGCCTAATCTAAGGCCGAAAACGTTCTATTATATTACCTGCTTGAATAAAGTAATGCTGCTATCACACACACATTATCACCAGTGTTTTTTGCTTCAAATGGCCATAATACTTTTCCTGTTCTTATGAGAATTTTTTTGAAGCGTACTATACTCCTCTTCTATTATTTTGAATATGTTGCAAAGTTTTTCAAATTATCCTCGTTTAGATTCTAAACAAAATATTTTGGAATTTTGGCAGAAACAAAAAAGTAATATTCCTGCATTATATTCTTTGTCTAAAATAGTTTTAGCAGTCCCACCTACACAGGTTAGTGTTGAGAGACTGTTCTCAT